TTTAATTTAGTGATTTTCTTTCATTAAGAATTGAACAAAAGAGATAGATTTATTTATTTTTTTTTTTTATACTCTTGGTCATTCAGTGGCATAGATACATATATTGAGAATAATAGAATAAACTTTAATATAAATCAGTTACAGATGCTTTAAGTTCAGCTCATCCAAATTTCAACACATTGAGAAGATGCTGAAATGTTCTCAGACAAGCCAACTTACCAATATGTGAGCAAACAGATTTTTTTTTATCCCCTCTTGATCAGAGCAAGAACTTTTCAGCTCTTCAATATGGTTTCTTTTCCTTAGCTAAGCTGATGAGCCTCTCCTACCCCAAAAGGATAATTTTGAATCATCTGGGCAGTAAGAGTTTGGAAATGGATTGAAGCCAATTGTTTCATTCTTGAAGAATGGACTGGCTGAAATCTTATTAACAGGAATTATATAAAGATGTTCCAGTATCTGAACAATATTCTTAAAGTGAATTGAGTTATTTCCCTTGATTCAATAACATATGTCGGATATTGTATAGTTTTATTTTGATAAAGTTACTAAATGATTGGCAGACATGTTAAAAGAAATTTCTTTAGCTGATGAGATAGAAATAAAAAGGGATAAAAACCTAACACAAAAAACTGAATTTGATGCTGACCGATTCAAGATAATGTGGAGATGGTAATGGAGGCCTTGAAAACAATCATTGTCCTGGGGCAGCTGGCGGATTTGTTTATTTGCTGATATCATAATAACATCCTGGTCTCAAGTGGTTAAAGGAATGTTAAGAAAACATTTTATTTGGGATACAGCAAAAAGAAGAAAAGCTTCAATATATTAATTCTAAAGTGCTAAACAAAGTTTTTTTTTTTTTATTTATTCCTTTCATATTCACTTTAGTTGCTTTTCATTACAATTGCCATGAATAAATAAAGAATTTGCCAAAATCTTATTCTTTATTTCTAATGTTTACAAATGACAGTTAACTCAGTAGAATGTCAGAATTGCTGTGATAAAAAACAAACTGAAATTAAGATGGAAGACAAAGTAGTCAAAAATGCTTCTAAAAAAAAAAAAAAAATTATAACTCAAATTTTAAAGGATGAACAAAGTTTTTCCTTAACATTTGATTAACAAAGCCTAATTTTAATAATATTGCATATTTCTTCTTGTGTCCGTCCATATAAAATCATTACTAGATTTTGGCTTAAACCAAACAAATTACAGCCTCCCTATCCCCTGCTAAAAAAATAAAAATAAAAAAACTTTATATAGCACAGGGCCTACCCCAGATAAAATCCAGTACTACTCATAACATCTTAAAAAGCTAATATCAACATTTATTTTTATTTTTGTTAGTTTGTTGTCTTTTATAATTTGTAAGATAATGATCTAAGAATGCGAACAAATTGAAATATGTAACAAAATTGAATATAATTTTTGTTTGTTATTCCAATATTGATTACCAACAAAAATCAATTAATTTCATCCTTTAGGATTTTATGTAGTTACAAACCTTTGCTTAGTTTGGCAAAAGGCCAAGTCACAGAGTTAAAATCAGATTAGCTGAAAGCTTGCCTATAAACTATAATTTGTTTTGTACATGAATAAATAATTGAATTATTAGACATAACAATGAACAGTGTTAGGCAGCCATAACCATTTATGGTCTACTAAAGATACATTTGTCTTTTGTCTGTCTATTGCTGTAAATTATTTTTATTTTATGCTTTACAAAAGAATAAAATTTTTTCACTCCTCCTTGATTTGATATATTGACCTTAGTTTATCTTACATCTTTTCTATAAGGTGAGTTAGGTTAAATAATAATTCTAACAGGCCATGTTTGGTACTGTAAGCATTTTTTTTTTAAATTATACATCAGATTACAATCAAAGAACAGTGCAACAACCTGACTTTAACTACAAGGTAGAATGGAGGTAGGATAAGTATCTGTCATAGCCAGTAGTTGCAAGTGTTTACCAAATATGGTGATGGATATTTTTTTTTATTATTGATTTCTATGATGGGTGGGTGGGGGTGACACTACCCAGCAACTAACATCATGGCACCTCTATTTGTCTGGACAAACAAGATACTTGAATTCTGACTACTACCTGGTTAGTTTATGGGGAGGCTACAGATGTTACTTAATTTTTTTTTTACCTCATTCAACTTCCACATAAATCTGCACAGGATTTAGAAGCAAGATAAAAATATTAGTGGTAAGCATCAGGTAGATCACAGTTTGTGTGTGTGTGTGTGTGTGTGTATATATATATATATATAAAGAGAGAGAGAAGAGACCTTAACTGTAGTTACCACATGTGCGAAATTATCCATTGATATGAAAAAAAAAAAAAAATAAATAAATAAAATAAAGAATTATTTGAGGGTCTATACTGGTTAGATTTACAACTTACAGAAAGAAATAGTCAAATACTCTAAAGTTGTTTATGTTAAACCTAACCTTTTTTCATGGTTATTGTCAAATAGTTTTGATTTGGAAAAAAAAAAAGCAAAATTACTGAAGATTTATGTTGCAGATATTTTAAAGATGTCAATGAGTATTAAAACGATATGTGAGAAGGAAAGAGTGCCAGTCTTGGTTGGCGTTAGAGGGGGAAGGTCAGTGATGCATAAATGAATTACTATTTACTTGACCCCAATTGGTCTGGTAAAATCATTAACATAATCCAGAAAAAAAATATGAGTGGCATCACTGTATAACAAGTGAGTTATCAGTTTTACCCAAGTGTTAAAAAGAAGAGTTCCCAAAACATAGCATTTCACTAAAAGTCAAGATTGGAGATTACTGTTTTTTGTTTTTTTTTTTAAAGTTATGAAACACTTCCTTGTAAGATAAGTTTATCATGTTCCAAGTTCCAGTAATACAAAAATCACTTTCAACTACTCAGGTTTTGTACTTACTTTACTTGGGAGAGAGCTAGGTTGGATTATTTTCAACAGCACTTCTTCGTAAAAAAAAAATAAAAAAAAAAAATTTAAAATAAAAAAAAAAAAATCTCCAAGATGATTGTCATTACACAGGAAGGAAGCAACCTTAGTCTTCAGTTTTTATTTAAGTATCAACAGATGTGCAGATCTGAGAGGAGGAATGAAAAGAAATATTGCAAAGTCATCAGTTCTGATAACTTTGTCAACAGAGTGTTTTTATAGAAAAGTTTGAAAGCCCAAGTCTTCAACAAGGAAAAGCACTTTAAGTTATGCAGACAAATATCTTTTTGGCTGGACATACAAGGAAGTTATTTGACAAAAATCACAGAACAATATATCTAAAGATTTATTTTTAATCCAATATTTTTATTATTTCAAATTATTATTTCTAGTGGATACCCGTTTTTGAAATAGCCATCCCATTTTTTACCCCACAAAACAGAATGCATTATGTCTTCTGGTTTGTTCACTCAAGGAAACTTAAAATATGCTCTCCAGCAAGATTCAAATCTGTATCCCTCTTTGTAGGAGAAACTACCATTTGATCCAGTGTTCTGTACACCCCTCAGCTACAAAGAGCATCACAACACAACAGGGTTGTGTTTTCCCCATTTAAAGAATGCACCCCCCCATTCAGATTTTCTTAAAAGCCCATACATATATGCTCAATTTTGTATCTGCAATGTAAACAAAGCAATTTCTAAAGAGTTAAATGGATTTAGTTTTAATCCATTTTTAATATTTCTATTTTGATTCACTTTCTATGTGCATCATGCCATTTTAGCTGCTATACCTTTCCCTTACATCTTTAATTGAATTCTTGAGATTATCTTTTTGTTACTTTTTGCTAACTTATTTCAATATATTTCCAAATCCTGTCTATTTATTTTTCAGCTGCTGTACTTTGACTTCTTCAGATGTCACTTTCTTTCAGTAACTTAAGAACGATGAAGAAAATCTTCATTTAATTGGAACATAACAATGCCAACCACTGTGGATTAAGTAAAGATATTGTACAACATTCCCAGAAGATTAACAAATATGACAGACACATATTTTGATGCCTTGTTACAGCCATGCCATAATGATTGAGCGAGTAAAGAATATTTGAGAGAATACTTATGAGAGAGTAGTTTACCTGTCTTATTGCTCAGGCAGTAATAACAATAAATAGATATCAAACCCATTGTCAACCTAAAAAAAGTCAATGAAAGGTAAACTTTCAACTTTATGTGGCAAGTAATGGTAAAAAAATTTTGGGTATCAAATTACAAACATGAAGAATGGAAAAAAAAAAAGAAGTCAGCATTCAAGTAATTATCAGTTCCAATCCAATTGAATAACCAAAGTGTATAAGAGTTTAATAAGAAAAGAAATGAATTTCAATTTATTACTTAACTGAAAACAAATAGTAAGAAAATAGTTTTTTAAAAACTGACTCCTCCAGGTTTTTATTAAAATATGCTAATTTTTAAAAAAATTAAACATATATAAACATATACACATGGAAAATGAAATTGCAGGATCCTGAATATCTTTGAGTTTCAAAAAGACAGGTTGAGACGATTATTCTTTTTGGAGAAAAATCTACCATGATACACTTATTCCAATCACCCTTTTTTATTAAATATTCAGGAAATTTCCTCCTGCCTGTTAATTTAGACTGCAGGCATTCGAGGAAAAAGCATTTCATTACTAAGAATTCCAGAAAATCACAAAAAGAATTCCAATCATGCTTTATTCAAGCCACCCAGTCTATTTGAAACTCAAGTGTATGTATTTCAATTCACTAGATTAATCGATTGATTTTACAATTTAACTATTTTAAGGGTAATTAAGGTCAAAACATAATTTGGGATTGTAATAATTTTGGAGATAATTTTGATACATGTCTTACTATTTAACCCATAGCAGGAAGGAGAAGTAGTGGATGCATACCTTTCCCAAGGGTATTTGCACATAAGTAAATATAATGAACCTGACTGGAATTTGAACTTGGCTCTCCAATTTCTTACTGACCGATTATCTAATACATCACCTACACATCCAAGCTTACAGCACCTGGTATTCTCTAGTGGTTACCCATCAAGGTACTGACCAGATTCAATTTTGCTTAACTTAGGTGATCAGATAAGAACTGGTGTTTCAACATGATATATCCATAAGCCTCAATTCACTAGAGATTGAATGTAAACATAATATAGCTTGGTTATAATAAATGAACACATGTATAGATTAACATATGCACAAGATACAAAATAAAAGTGACTCAGACACTACATTAATACACTGTCTATCCTCCTTGGGTTTTAATACAGGCCTCTACTCTCAGTTGCATACCATCATGCAGATGGTGAATACCATTGTGATGACTCTTGCACCTACTAACACAATACAACATTGGTTTCAAATCAATAGAAATGTCTGCAAAATAGTTTCCATTCCCCATTTTATCAGCAAAAACCACACAAATGCATGCTGGGATTTTTTCATAGCCAATAAAATAGGCCAGTTCTCAGTTTCAACCAACTCAGTCCCGGTCTGTCTTGTCGTGAAGTCAGAACACTATATTCACTTGTCCAAACTTTTTGCGCGTCAACTGCAATTTTTAGTTTAGGTGAACTTTTTGCCATATGACTATTGCTTTGCCTTATTACTGTTAATTTGCTTTGCATATATCATTTGCTTGCTTTATATTATTTTTTGCCCTGTACTTTTTTTTATTGCAAACTGTCAATTCTGTTTGTTGGACAGTTCTGTTATTTTGTATTTGACCATGGCAACTGACTTCACAGATTAACCTTAGCATCTCTCCTGCCTTAAGTGGTAGCCAATGTATAAGAAAGAATATACTGGATTCAAATCTGAGGAAGGCTGTTTGGAGATATTGTGCCAAACGGTGTCCTATTTCTTTCTCATTAGTTCTTCCTCAAACTAACTTGTTCTAAACAAACTTTCAACACAATAATCATCTTTGTAGGTTACCTACTGTTCAGCACACATAAATCAAAATTAACAGGAGTCCATGCTTGGATATGTGAGAAACAAATATGTTAGGTTCACTAAATTTTTTTACTTGAAATTAAAAATATAAAAATATAACTGCAGGGATCTCACTAATTCTGGAAAACAAATAAATAATGGAAAAGATTTATTGAAATTCTTTGTACTTAAACCCTGTGATCGACAACAATGGTCAATTAATCTGGTTGCATTCTCAAGTTTTTTTCTTGAAATATTCTAAATAAATAATTGAACAGATGAAACACAAACTACAAAAATGAAACAAACTAAATATATAAACCATGTAATGATTTCAAGCAAACTTTCAATGTCAAGACATTTTTTGTTTCACCTTTGGTTAAAATTTCTACAGCAGAAGTAAATGAGTAAACGAAAAACTCAAAAGAAAGGCTTAGTTAGAATTTCTCCACCCACAAGTCTATTTTCATGCTTTTTTTGTTTGTTTTTTTTAATTAAATTCTTTCACTTCCCACTTTGAGAATTTATTTCAGGCATTACATAAATTTAGTTAACAGTTGAACAGCAGCCACTATTCAAATTAGTAGCCCTAAGCAATGTGATCATTCAGGGCTAGTGTGTCTCACTCCCAACTGGTGGGGGCCCTCACATGTTTCGGGCCCCATTGTGGCCTCTGCCTTTTTTTTTTTTTTTCAGCACTGTTTTATGACGATCCACCATTTTTTAAAATTATTTTTAAACTGTTGTTACATTGCCAGTCATCAACTATTAATATACATCATGTATCTACGTGGCCTGTGTCGTGTGTACTATGCAAGAACCACCAACAAGAAGTGATAATTTCAGTAGTACTTATTTTTTTTAAATTGTAATTTTCTTTCTGAAGAGTTCTTTTAAATCAACTCAGAGGATAATATATCTTGGTAAAATCATTTTTTATTCAGAGATCATCCGCTAAGGACAGTCTGATATTTTTTACTACTACTAATAACCAGAAGTTCATGGCTAGTAATTAGAATAAAATTTCTATTCCCTATTTTTTACATTTCTATGTAAATGCATGATGCAAGAAAATGATAACTTAAAAAATTAAATTTTTTAAATATTTCAATACATGCAAATTTTCCCCCAAAATTGAAATACTGTTTTTAAAACAAATTTTTAAGAATCCCATTTGTGCTGCGTTGGAAGCTTTTTAATTTTTTTTTTTTCAGAGATGCATTGGTGATTAATCTTTATGGAAATGTAAAAAAAATTTTCAAGTAAAATTTAGTCATGAAAATATTGTTGGTTAGTACAAAAAGAACATTTTCTCAGATTTTTTAAATAAAAAAAAAATAAAAACACATTCATTATAAAAGTAAATAATTAATGAATATGTATTGAAATTTTCATTTGAATTGGATAATTACTTGATTTTTTTGTAATTTAAAAAAAAATGCACTGAACCACCCCATCTCAAGGTTTCCATAGAGGTTGAGAAAACACATAACAAAGTTTTGGGGTGTTGAGGAGGGCCTAACACCAATCCTGTAATCATTTATCATTCGGGGAGCTCAAATGTGTGTCTATTGCAATGCATATTAAAATCTAAACTCAAAAGTCCTTTGGTTGCTACATTTTGCTATAAAAGACCAATCATATGTCATTTCTGAAAAGACTTGGTCTTCTCCTATATTTTAACAAGAAAGCATCATAAACAGTTAAACAGTTCTTTTTAACAACAAAATTGACTGGAGAATACATTTTTATCCAGAATACCATTTATATGCATTTAAAATTATAAACAGCCTTTATGTTAAATATATAAATAATATTTTCTCTTTAGAGTAATTATTGCAAAAAAAAAAAAAAAAAAAAGAGATTTTGTAAATTATGTTCTGAAACTTATTTCTTCATTTAAAAATGACAAGTTTCATTCCCCATCAACCCAACTCATCTTTTTGGGTATCCATTCCTGTATTAAAATAAAAAAAAAATAGAAATGAGTCAGCATGGGTACTTAATTCTTTTCAAAAGAATAATTTCTGGCATTTTTAGCACTTAGAAAGTGATGCCAACTTGTCACCACTTTCTCAGGGTGGGGAGTACTTTGTCAGTTGCACATTTCTGCACTTGCATAAGGCTGTTAGAACAAAGACGGTCCCCCTTAGATTCATACTGAAAATACGAGGATAATTCAAAAATTATCTGCACTTTTGCCATAACATAACAAGAGTGTGGATAATTTTTTATTCCCCCCCCCTCATAGTTCATTTGACTTTCATACAGAAAATGATACCCAAAAAGATTAATTTTTTTTGATGAGCTGAGTAGATGATGAAGAGACAGTCATATACAAAAGTTAATAATTTTCTGGATTAGTGCCTTCAGAGTGGTTAAACTGGTATCAAGATTTGTTTAATACTGAAATGGAAAAATGAGAAAACTATTTCTCTTTGGCTTACTGGGAAAAAACACATACAACACATTGATCTTAAAATATCACAGTGGCATATATTCTGCTTCCAGGTCAACCTGCCTTTCTCTTTTTACATTCCTAAAAAAATACTATTCCTGCCTAATAATAGTTATTGCATTTGCATACATATTTCACATGCTAAATGTAGCAACTATAATACAACAGAGGCAGCAGTATGTTATAGTTAAATTGTATGGTTAAAAGTAAGTGAGACAAACAAAATAAAATATATATATATATATATATATATATATATATATATATATATATATATATATATGTATGTTCATGTGTGTATATTTAGGCAGCAAATTCTTTTAGGCATGTCTGATTGAATAAATCACAGACATTATGTCTGCTAATTTTTAACAAAATCCATTCATACTCACGAATAACCTTTTGTGTACTGATGTTAAGTTGTTCAGAGGTGGTATTCTTTTATAGTGTGTTGTGTATCTCTTGCTTCCTCCAGCAGACCACTGGAGCAATATCACCTGGCAATTTAAATGTGGCCTTGTGAAAAGGCAGATTGAAATAAATAATGTTAACTTGAAAACACTCAACAAATGGAAGCAAGAGATACACAACACACTACAAAGGAATACCATCTCTGAACAACTTCACATCAGTACACGGAAGATTATTCGTGAGTATGAATGGATTTTGTTAAAAATTAGCAGACATAATGTCTGTAATTTATTCAATCAGACAGACACACATACATACATACATAAATACACACAAACACAAGTGAACATTGAAGTCAATACTCAGAGGCCAACTGTTTCATGCTAAATCATCAGGCCACATGTGTTGTATTTTTTCTTAACTATTTATGTCTATGGGTCAGTGGTGCATTGTGGGTAGTCTATTCTAACGATTATTTTGGCAGAAGTGGTTTGCTAATTTGTATTTATTTATTGGGATTAATTTATTTTACTTGTTTTTTATTTATTTTATTTTATATATTTTTATTTATCCTTTTCAGTTTTTAAGTAACATAGTAAGAATTTTGAGATGACTTCTGATTGTTTTGGTCTGGGAAGATAATTATATCTTTTTTTCATCCTTTGAATGTTGACTTCAGTGTTTACTTCTATATTTACATACGCTCTATCTCTGATATTGAGCACTTTATCCCATAAATATAGCATACCTTAAAACATATATATATATATATATATATATATATATATAGTGTGTGGTGTAACATTTCTTGCAGGGCATAGATACTAGACTGATCCCATATTAATGACCTCAATCTACCCTATAGTGGAAGGATGCAATACAAGAAAGTAAAAATTGACCAGTCACTGTGACTACTGTCAGTCATGGTTGGAATTCCCAGGGCAAGTTTTCCCCTCAGTGGTAATCTGCAAACTACTCAAAGACAGAAACACAGTGACAATGTTCTAGACTGGGATAAGGGGAAAACTGAAGGAAAAAATAAACAGGTATTACACTTTGATCTCAGCCAGAATGCTTAATCTGATGTAAGGTAGAAGTGCTAGACCATATATAATCTTGTCATTTTTGACAGGTATTATGCTTAGAGAAAAGTGTACATCCTTGTAACTTTGGATTTAGAGTAATAAAACTTATCAACAGCATAAAATAACTTAAAAATAAATCTAAATATATCTCAACCAAAGTTATTTTAAAATGCAGTTCGCCCATGAACTGCCCATCTGACTTAACTGCATCAATTT